ATTTTATATTTAATCATTTAGGGTCTGTTATTAAATGGTCTTACTTGTACAAATCATAAAAATGTAAACAAGGGCTATCTTTCTAAACACAGTGACTAGGGATATCAAAGTCTGTACTCCCATTTTATCTCAGTTAGGAGAATGCTTCTAAGATGCCTAAAATATGTAACATGTTAGGGGTTCTGGCATGATTAAGAGTCTTTAAGACCCTTCTCAAAATTTGTAAGTAAGCTTTAGAGTAACTTTTACATCAGTTAAAATAGGCTCCTCTGTGTTTGAGAAGTTTATATCCATTAAACTGAAAAATTCTCAGGAGAAACACACCAACTGATCTAGAAATTTTCTTCCAGTGGAAACTGTAAACCCAAGAACTTAAAATACACCCATCTCATATAATAAGCTTCTCTAACTAAAGAGAACACTTTGAGATTCTAATTGAAGACTGTAGAGAGCAGTCAAAAATTATAGATTTAATACCAGCTAGGAGGACAAGGACCTAGATTGGGGAATCACGTTTCTCACACACTTGAAAGCCTCAAGGCAAAAGCATTCCCCACTGGAAAAAAGGATGCGTCTGAAACCCCACACAGAAACCAGCTGGGCTCACTCTCCCCAGCCTCACCCCTTTGGTGATGTCAGGAGAGCCCCAACACCACCAAAGACCCCATAAATAGAGTCAGGGCCTTCACCTGCTAACTCTCTCCCCTCTTTTTTACCCCATCACATAATGTAAGAGGTGGAGCTATAGTTTTAGAACTGCACAGAAAATGTCCAGGGGAAGCCGGGGGAGGGTCTGGGTGGGGCTCAGCCTCCTCAGCCAGAGCTGCTCTGTCTTCAAGTTCTAGTCAGGAAATTCTGTCATTCACCACACAGCACCAAGGCCCAGGGTGGGAATGGTAATGCCCCATGGTACCAGTTCTGAAAGAAACATACGCAGGGTGGCCCCAGGCACCCAAGGCTTGAAAACACACACATGTGTAAAGGGCCCAGTGACAGTGGAACAGAGCTTTAGGATGCCTCCTAGGGCTCAGTCCCTTGGCCTCCTCTGCCATCTTTTTACCTGAGGAACAAGAGAGACCAGAGCACATAACTGGCCCCCTATAATTCTTATCTAGCCTCACCCACTTACGGTAAGAATTATCCAGTTCTCTGTGGTACTCACCATTTCCTTGGTCCAGCTTCTTGAAGTTTAAGTTAATGTCCTCTCTAAGCCCAAGAAGCCACTTAAGTAAAAGGGATGGGAGTGGAAACAGAGCTACTAGGCAGCCTGGAGGCAGATGAATAATGTTCCGTCCACACAGCTAGTAACAGCAGTTGAATCCTTCCTTATGATTGCAAGGATGTGCAAGATGGTCATCCTAGGTCCCCAGCTGCCTAGACTGTACTAGTTCTCCCTGCGCCACATCTGTGACCTAAAATGGAAAAAGGATGAGGAGGAGACAGTGTTGAGTAAGGAGGGAGTGACAGGGTTCTTGAGCTTCAGCTCTTTCCCTGGGCAGGGCTTCCTTCCAGGCTCAGGGCAATGGCCCACCCTGAGGGTATCTGCATTTAAGACAGAAAAGGCTCCAGCCTTCCAGAGCACACACTTGCTTTAGACTTTTTGAAGCAAATGGAACTGCATCAATTGGTGATTAAAATGAAAGAAAATAAATAACAGTACTACTTCCATAACAATTCTGATGAATTACAGTTGCAAATTGTAAGACAAGAGACGATACTAATCACATTAGAGTTAGTAGTAACTTCTCAAACAGGACACTAAGTTTCTGAAATGATATATACAGCTTTAGCTTGACTCTTCAGTATCTACATATTTTCCCTATCTTTTATTCTATATAAAAGGATATCATTTTGTTGCTGTTACAGTCAATAGATTTCATATACACATACTATATTCATTCTACATTACATTTCCTTTGGAAAAAAACATTCTTTAGTCATATTACAGATGCCATACACGAATTACACATCAATTAAGCTTTACTTATTCACGTTCAAAATTATTTATTATAATCATGATTTTCTGTTGGTTATACATTTATTTGGAGCCCTGGTGGCACAGTGGTTAAGAGCTCTGCTGCTAACCAAAAGGTCGGCAGTTTAAACCCACCAGCTGTTACTTGGAAACCCTATGGGGCAGTTCTACCCTATAGGGTAGCTATGAGTCAGAATCGACTCCATGGCAACAGGTTTTTTAATAGGTTACCTTGTAAAAGAGGAACCCTGGTGATGCATTGGTTAAACACTCCACTGCTAACCGAAAGCTTGCCTGTTTGAACCCACTCAGCGGCTCCACATGAGAAAAGACCTGGTGAACTGCTCCCATGAAGATTACAACCTAGGAAACCTTATGGGGCAGTTCTACTGTCACACAGGATCACTATGAGTTGGAATCAACCAGATGGCAATGGGTTTGGTTTTTGCTTGGAGTGGTACGAACAGTTAAGTGCTTGACTACTAGCTGAAAGATTGGCAGATCGAACTCATCACCCACAGATGCCTCAGAAGACAGGCCTGGTGATCCGCGTCCAAAAGATCAGTCTTAAAAACCCTACGGAGCAGTTCTGCTCTGCACACAGGGAACTGCCACTAGTAGGAATGGACTTACAGGCAACTAACAACAACTGTGTAAAATAATTACTACTAAGAATGTGGTACTTTTTGCAAAACTGTAGTGTAGCTGACCCTCTAGAATCTGTTTAAGAATTTTCATTAGTTTCATTACATATGCCTCCATTTTGCCCTCATTCTCGTATTTCCTGTGCAGACATTGGGAATATGCACAGCCTTTGCTCTAAGAAGACTTCAATCTACGAAGAACTGTGGATCTTTGGGAGCAGAAACTGTGGGTGAATCACCAGCATACAAACCCATACAGATCCTGTCTCAGATCCTTAAGATCTTGGAGAAACACGTGGTATGTGATCTCTATAGATCCCTCATAACATATATTTATCTTGTTCAGCCATATCATATTTTACATCAAACTAGCGTTAGCCATACTGTTTCTCACAAAATCATGACAAAAATTTCTGCCTTACAGATATAGAAATTTCTCAAAACGTGCCTCTTGTTGACATGTTGTGGGGTTGTTAACCAATGTCATAAAATAACATGTGTACTTCTGTTTCATGAGAAACTATTTGTTCTGTAAGCCTTCACCTGAAGTACAATAAAAAAAAAAAGTGCCTCTTACTAAATATTTTTATCCCGAAATTGGGATAACCAAACCCAAATACACTGCTGTGGAGTTGATTCCGACTCACAGCGACCCTACAGGGCAGAGTAGAGCTGCCCCATAGGATTTCGAAAGCTGTAAATCTTTACAGAAACAGACTATCACATCTTTCTCCTTCGGGGCGGCAGACAGGTTAGAACCACCGACCTTCTGGTTAGCAGCCGAGCGCTTTAACCACTGTCCCACTTTCACTCCTTGAAATTCGAATAAATGTGGATAAATATGGTCCTAAATGCACGTGCTAGTTACAACTCAAGTTTCTTAATTCATCCGTCTTAAAGACCTATAACCATTAAAGGAGGGAGAAGTATATTTCCCATCACAATCTGTATGACCAGCAATACTTAACAAAAGTCCCGCCTTGAAGAAGCACAGAAAACAAAGCGAAGCACAATGAACGGCGGACTGGAAGGGGTTGGAGCAGGGCATTTAGACTCAGGTCAGCCACCCTGGGATTCCATGAGGCCCGTGCCTCTGCATTTCTCACAAACTCTCAGTGAAGCCGACGCTGCTGATCTGGGAACCACACTTTCGGTTAGCGAGGATTTCTGTGATTTTACCTGTTAACGGACCGAGAGTCCCAGGTCCAGCACACATACTCTGCCTTCCAGAACCCGGACGTGCAGAGAGAAGCCGCGGCCCAGGGTGGGCCGGGCTCTTGAAGGAGATGGGGGGGTGGGGAGGAGGAAGCGGCAGCGACGAAGCAGCGGTAAAGCGACGGCGGCGGTAGTAAGCGGCGGGGGGAGGCCCCGGCTCCAGCTAGAGGAAGTCGCGCGGCACTGGAGCAGCCTAGGGAGGGCAGAGGCGCCAAGACTACTCAGGAGAGCAGTAGCACCGCCCTTAAGTCCGACGGAACCCTCCTGCCCGCATGCTGCACCTGGTACTGAACCAAGTAGGACAACTATAGACACAATAAACCTACTTCAAACAGGACAGGAGCGCGACCTAACATGGCTGCCGGCCGTGGACGTGCACTTCCACTTCCGGCTTCTGGACTCTCCTTGAGGGATTATGTGCGCGGACCCGGAGGGCTCCACCTAGTGACCATGGGATGCAGTGGCTTCCCCTGGGATTTAGATCTCTTCACTGCTGTCTTCATTATTTCTGTAGAGAAAAGCCTAGGTTAACGCGGATTTCATTAGTCAAAGACTTCTCTAATACCCTCGGAGCAGAAACAGTTGGTAGTTGCATATTTGGCCGTTTGAAAAAAATTTACCATGTTCTTTAGGGAAATAATTTGTTTGCTCCTCATAAATATTTGTTCAGCTTTAGAACCCTTGGCTTCTGAACTGTTGGCTTATGTTTCACGGTTTGTTTTCTTTTGCATATCTTGCATCTTTCCCCAAGAGCAGAGCACCAACTGTGCAAACCCAATCTGATGTCTTCAAGAGCAGAGGATCGTGGAGAAAGTTTTCTAAGGCAAGAGGCAGGCTGATACCATTCCTTGTGGGGAACAGTAGGTAAAAGGTGAAGTACTTTTTAAAATGAAAATAGTAAACCGTTTTACTATCTTATCAGGGATATCACACATGTAATAGAGTGCATAAGCTGAACGAATCTTAAATGTACAATGCAATGAATATTTACATATGTGTATACACTCATAAAACCACCTCTGAGATCTCCAGTTGATATTTGCCCTTCTCCAATTGATATTGTCCCTGAGAGTAACCACTATTCTGTTATCCCCAGAGATACGTTTTGTCTGCTGTTGGTCTTCATATAACTGAAATCATACTGTTTGAAATCGGTTGTCTAATTTCATCTACTTACCATAATGTCTGTGAGATTTTATCTATATTGTTGCATATAGCAGTGATTTTTCCTTGTTTGTTGCTGTGTAGTATCTCATTGTATGAATATACCACAATATTTTTTAATTAATTACCTGTTTTTAAGGTTTGCATTCTAACCTAGGATATGATATATACATTGTTGAATGTTTAATGAGACCTTGACAATAATATGTCTTCTGCTGTTGTTAGTGGAGTGTTGAATGACTGTCAATTAAGTCAAGTTGGTTGATGGTATTGTTCAGGTCTACGATATACTTACTGACTTCCATATCCTTGTGATTTTTTCTATTTTATCTTTCAGGTCTATCATTTTTTCCTTCGTATATATTAAAGATCTGTTGTTATATGAATATACATTTTGAATTGTTATGTCTTCTAGTTGAATTAATTCTTTTATCATTATGCAGTGTCCCTCATTATCTCTGGTAAGCTTCATTCTAATCTAACTCCCTTGCTAATTATAATATCTTGTTTCTGAGGGTAAGAAGCCTAGCTCCCATTATCTACAATTTCTCTATGTATTTGTTCACCCTTACTGTTAATAATTATTCAATCTGTATACTGAGAAAATAATCCGAGAAGCTGGACTATATGAAGGAGAAACGGACATCAGGATTGGAGGAAGACTCATTAACAACCTGTGATGTGCAGATGATACAATCTTTTTTTTCTTTTATTGTACATTAGATGAAGGTTTACAGAACAAATAGTTTCTCATTAAACAGTTAGTACA